CGCCTGTGCAGCAGAAGCCTTTGCTTTCTTGGACTATTTCTGGGAGGGGACTTTCTGGATCTTGTGAGGGCTGCTACTTTTGCATTCTTATTTGTTGGTGCCTCTTTCATACATAGACAAAAGTAATAACTGATCGGTTAAAAACTGAGAATGAAATATGACCCAGAAACTCCATCTTGGAGAAAACTTGAGTGGTTTCTCTGTGCCTTTGTGACATAGTTGGACGGGTAGATCAACCTAAATGTCATTTAAGTTACAATGCAATTTCTGAGAAATTAAGAGGTATTGTCCTTAAGAAAAATCCTTGCCAGACTGGAAATGCAGCTCTAGAGGCAGCTCAGGTCCCACCCGTTTCCCTTATCTCAGAGCTTGTGAACCCTCTGGGGACCATCTACCCCTCACTAATTCCTAAGACTGAACAAAAAACAAAGGAAGAAGAGCGACCTTGCCAAAAATCTAGCATCTTGAGTGTCTGCTGCACAATTGTTAGTAAAAAAGCTTAAAACAAAATTTGGATTCATAGCTAGGGAGTCTTGGACCTGATTCATGGCAGGAACTTTAAAACAACAGCCATGCAGTCTCTGTGTATGTGTGTCTATATATATGTTGTAGGTGTGATATTTTACCTCCAGACAGTATGATTTCTAAAGAGCTCTATTCAATTGGCTGAAAGTAAGAGCTTACATATATTCTAAATGTAATAGAAATTAACCCAAGTGTCATTCCAGTTAACATGATAAAATTAGTCTTTGGTAACTGAAAACTTATTTAAGATTGATGGTTCGATTAAAATGGGCATGTTCTCAGTTATCAGCATTGGCTATGATGCAGACATGCAGCCTTTATTCAACACTTATTGGTCAAATAAGCTGATGTTATCTGTACCATGAGATTGGTTAGCCAAAATAATAACTTAAAAAAATGGCTAATTTTGTCTAATGTCTCATGAAGTTTTGTAGGCACTCTAGGTGATTATGGTAAACAGGCACACTGAATAAATGTAAAAAAGGTAAAAGTGTTTGGGGGAAACTTTTTAACAATGATTGTGTGTTACAATATATGTACTTAAAACAACTTAAGATGGTGGCAGAGAAAGGGCATTTTCTTACAGCTTGTTAGCAAAAAGGAAGATGGGTGACTAATGTCCAAAAGAACCATCTTAAGGGGGACACAGAATCTTGAAGCAGTTATAAAGACCAGTGGGTTACAGGGGAGGGGTTAGGAATGTTGACCCAGGATTCGCCACACCAGATCTCTCAGTTGTCCTTGATGACGGCTGCCAGCATAGACTCTCTGTTCAGGGGTCATCACATTCTTAAGGAGCTCAAAAGGACAAGGCACTCCCAGAAACAGCACATGAAGCCCCAGAGGAGCTCCTGGAGTGGCAGTCTCGCAGCTGGGTGGGGCTCCTTCTCAGAGTCTCTGGGTTCTGATAACCGCAATGTGTTCTCTTGGCCCTCCCAGGCCATGGGGTGGGGGCTGGGTCCTGCCATTGTCACCCCATGTCCTCTTTTGCTGTTTGATTTCTCCAACTCTTTTAACCAGTTCTCTCCATTGAATTCTCCCTGTGGAAACACCTAGTGCAGATTCTATAGAGACGCACTCTTCAAAACTCTAGTGACTCAAAGGCTGCTCCTATGTGGCATGGTGCATTGAACTGAGTAGTCAGAGGAAAGTCACCCCAGCGCCCATTTACCAAGGGTTGTTTCTAGGATCCATGGATAGAGCAGACTGAAAGGCAGATGATGAGAAAAGCTAATGGACTGTATGAGCATCAGGGGAGAAGGCCAGGAAGCATCAAAACCCAACTGAAGGGCGGAAGTATTGAGAAAATTTTGAGAGTGTATGACCTTTACCACATCACAGGATTCTGCTTGAGCACCATCTCTCCTCCTGCCTGCAGCATCCAGGTGGTGGTTACAGTGTCATGAAATGGCTGTCCCAGCTCACAGAAGGAAGAGGAATTGCAGGCCAGGGCTATTTTGCAGTGTCTGCTGACTTCAGATCTCGGGCCTTTCTGCTTATGTGTCTCCCTTTTCAAGACTTTCTCAGACTCTCCATCCTTTCCTGTCAGACTCTCATTTGAACTGGATTGGAGGAGAGGCTCATGAGTGGGGTGGGGGTGCTGCTGATGTGAAGGGCATATGTTGCCAAAGGGCATAGTTAACCGCCAGGAAAGTTCTGGAGATCATGAAGCTAAGGCCTCCAACTCCAAGATGTGCTTTGTTTGGAAGAATTTGGAAGCATTCCCCTGACTGGAGACACAGGACCGCCTGTGTGTGTGTTTGGGGCAATGGCTCATGCCCACACTGTCCCTCATCACAGAGCAGGCAGTGTTCCCCAGAGAGGCAGGCCACTCTCTCCCCTAAGGCAGCAGCACTCCTGGAGATGTGGGGTGAAGTGAGAGAGGAATGCGGGGTGGCTCCCTGCCCTCCAGGGATCTGTAAACGGGGTGAGTCCAGTGCTGTGTCTGTGTCAGGGGGTCTGAGGACATTGCTGTTCTCCTACTTTGTAAGAGCTATTACAGGAGGTGGAGGAATTCCTCAGTGCAGGTTCTACTGAGAGTGTCAATAACAAACTAACATTAATTGCCAATCGAAAAGCCAAAAAAGAGGTCATGCAAGCCATCCAGCATAAAATAGCACCTCATGGACACTAGACATCCCCTCGTTCTGCTTTCTTCTTCTTTTCAGCACAGGTGTCACTTAATGAGTTGGTTTTCTCATTGTCCATCTGCCTCCACTAGAACGTCATACCTGGGGGGAGGAGTCCTTCATCCCAGGACCTGGCAGAGAGGCGACATAATAAATACCAGTGGTGTGAATGCATGCAGGGGTCTGGGGTTATAAAGGATGGTGGTTTGTTGACATCCTGGTCCCTCAGCCAGTCATTGTGCAGACTTTCCCTTCTCCTCTCCTCCACCCTTTAGATTCAACAGCTCTGCTCGATGGATGTTCAGGGAGAACAGAGGAAGAGGTGAATAAGCCCCATGGGTAGCAGGAAGGGGAGCTGCTATTAAGCCAGAGAAGGTCCTTCCCTGTGGGCATGAACACAGCATGGATGTGTGTGGTGAGAGGATTAGAGGGCAAGAGAGGGCAGGGGGTGGATGCAGCAGGAGAGTTAGGCTGTGACTTGGAGCGTGTTCTGATTCGGGGGCTGTGTGGGCAGAGGCAGGGGCTCCAGAGGTCTACGTAGGAAGCATTTAGACAGAGCATTGAGGCTGGATGGATTTGGGGGATGGTTTCAAAACTGCCTTCTTTTCCAAGTTCTCGGCTTTATCTCTAGTTCATCCTTCCTTGGGCAGCTGTAGGGAGGAGCCTGCAGGAGATGATGGGGGTGTTAAAGACCCCGCCTTCACCTCCCCGACTCAGTCCTGCTCCTGGGTGTAGAGAGAGACACGACTGCCTGCAGTCATACAGAGGTCCACAGGGAAGGGAAAGGTCTGCATGAAGTCCTACAGGGACTTTCAGCAAAGAAGACAGTAAAGGGCCCCTCCCCTGTAAAAATTCCAAAAACCAATACAGTGTAAAGGGCAAAAGAAGTGTAAAGGAGCCCAGAAAATTCTGATTTTCTCTACAACAGCTAAGTCATGCATGATACTTTTCAGCAAGTTCTTCCACTAGCATCACAGCCCCGGACTATACTTGGAGAACTCTGGGTCCCATTTCCAGAACAGAGCCATGACCCATATGAAATTTTGTCCAGAGAATCCTGTCTCTGAGGCAGCATCTGGGAAGACCAGAGCCTTCCCCTGGGTTGAGTTAAGCCCCTCATACAGTACGCAAGGCCCATAAAGGTAGAAGGACCCAGGATACTCTTTGTGGTCTGTGGAAGATTGTCCACCATTGTACCTCTCTCCCTGATCAGCCCTCAATCTAGTGACTTTGCATGTCCTCCCATCTGCAGGTGTAGTCTTTTTCCATAACTCTGGAATTTCCCTGGCCTTTTGACTTGCTTTGGTCAATAGAAGACAGCAGAGAGGTAACTTATGAGCCTTTACTTCAAGACACCTTGCATGCTACCTCTCGTTCTCCTGGGATCCTGGAAGACACATTGAGAACAAGCCTGGGTGAGTCTGAGATGAGAAGAGACTCTGCTCAGAGCTTCCCATTGTCTCAGCCAGAAGGCAGCCGCAGTCAACCTGGAAGCTGACTGCAGATGCAGGAGTAAGCCCAGGTGTTCTGTGATGAATTGTGTCCCCCCAAATTCATATGTTGTGGTCCTAACCCCTAGTACCTCAGAATGTAACGATATTTGGTGATAAGTTCTTTAAAGAAGTAATTAAATTAAAATGAGTTCATTAGGGTGGGCCCTAATCCGTGATGACAGCTGTGCTGACAAGAGTAAATTTGAACACATATGTGCACAGCAGGAAGACCATGGGAAGACACAGGGAGAAGTCAGCCCTTGGCAAGTGAGAGAGAGAGGCCTCAGAAGAAGCCAACCTCGCTGACATCTTGACCTTGGACTGCCAGCCTCTATAATTGTGAGGGAATCAATTTTTATTGCTTAAACCACCCAGGCTGTGGTCCTTTGTTGTGACCGCCCAGAGGACTAATGACTGGTAGGTGAGACCCGAAGATTCCCTTGACTGAGCCCAGCTCCTCTTGCCAACCATGGAATCACGAGCTCCGTAGGTGGTGGGTGTTTTAAGACACTGTGTTCTGGGATGGGGTCTCACAGAGTCAACTGGTAAACTTTAGAAGGGCCAGGAAATGGCTCAGCATTAATGGAAAACAGAATAAGGTGAATTCCTGATTGAATGTCCCTCCTTTTCTCGCCCTGCATACACATCTGCCATATGTGGGGACACCACAGTTCCCTGCCGTAATTAGGCATCTAGAATCCCCTCTTCTTCAACATTTCCTTGTAAAAGCATCTCCCACCCCAGCCACGCCAGGCCTCCCCACTCCTAGGCCCTGTCACGCACATGTCCATTCCCTCTCTGCTTCCACACACACATCTCTCCCAGACACTGTTACACATAGTAACCATCTTTCTTACATACAGCACGGGTCATTTCTTTATTTTCAGGAAATAATCACAGCACTTTCAGGGTTAAAGTCAGCCCTTTTTTTCATTCTCTGGCTGCTTGTTCTCCCGAGTTCTTCAGCTCACCACAGCGCCGACAGCATTTCCCTATTCCAAAGATCCAACAGAAACCAATAGTTTCATGATCTTCTGGGCAAGAAAAAAGTTTACATTGGCCATAAGCACGACTGCAGTTCTCTTCTGAGTCTAGGACAAGGACCCGGGCTGTGGAGAGGAAGATCTTTGAGTCACTCAGTCGGGAGCAACATTCACTGTGAATGCAGGGTCGTGACATGTGCACCGCAGAGCCGGGAGGAGCGGCTCCTTCTGCAGGCGCCTCCCTCAGAAACCCTATGGAGCCCCCGCTCCTTCTGCTCTTCTGCCACTGCTATGTTGGTTCCTGGTGGGCAGGACAGCCTCTGCTCTAAAGAGGGCAGGTACTGAAGTGTCTGCCCAGAATGCTGACTCAAGGCTCCCCTGCCTGCACCCCAGAGTCCAGCCCCTGCTCCAGATGTTCAAGGGGACTCTGTGCAGCCTCATGCAGCCTGATGAGGACCAACCCACACTGCACACTCCGACATGCCCTGGACACAAAAGGACAGGAGAGATTGGGCCAGAGGAACTGGGCAGAAAGAGAAGATGGGGGAAAAAAAAAAAAAAGAGAAGATAGGGTCCCCTGTGCTGCCTCCAGGTGTCAGGAGGGGCTGGCGTGTGGGCCTGTCACAGTATGGTGCACAGTCAAGAACACACACAATAAAAGGGCAGGGGTCACAGAGGGGGAACACACCTGGCGTGTCTCTGCTGCTCTATAAGGCCCTCCTATGCTCTCCCTTGTTTGTCCTCAATCAGACTCTGTAGGACTCTGGGGTTTGTAATCCTTTTCAGGAGAAGACAGGGTTAAGTCTGAGGACAGTTCGGTGACTTGTCTAAGTGCACACTGCGAGTCAGCATCGGAGCTGAGAAACACACACTAGTGTTTTGGCTCGTGGGTCCGGCTCTCTCCTTTATCCTGGGCTCTCTCCCAGGCAGGGAAGTCAGACAGCAAATGAGCCCTGGGGACGGCACCTCCTACATGAAGTTATCCCCATGGCCTGTTCCAAGGCTAACCTCACCTTCCAGCCTCAAAGCCTGGCCTGGCCCAGTGGTATTGTGTCTACCTACTCACTGGGCCATGTTCCAAGGCAGTGACCCCAAATGTAGCCTGAGAGATACTGAGGGCCATGTTTCAGTCCATCAAGAGACAGCTCAGAATCTACCCTGAGACTTTCATTCTTTGGTTGATGCTCTCCTTGATGCTCAGATTCATTACGTATTTCCAGACATTGAGCCACTATGCCTATATTCCCCAGGCCCCCAAGCCAATCTGGCTTCAGAGCTCACCTGTAGCAAAGTGAGCAACAAGGATGAAGCAGGTCAGGAGCACGAAGCAGAGTCCCCGCATGGTGAACGCCGGCTGGACCCTGGGTGGCAGGAGAATGCGGTGGACCTGCTCTGAGACTGGGATCCAGCGAGGCTGCTGTGGGCGGAGGAGCCTCTATTTCTATGCCTCCTGGGTGCTTGCACAACAGCAGTTGTTTGGAAACCTTGCCTGCTATGATCCTGATTACAGACAACTATTGATATCTGTACATGGGATGCTGTTCATTACCCAACCCCTTCCTTCAGGCATTCCATCCAGGTTCCGGGAATGACCTCACTTCTCACTCTGACATGGGATGCTTGACCCACACACCTGACCTCAGAGAGTGTGTGAGGATGGACCCCTAACCAAGGCCTCAGCAACCAGAGAGGACATTCCTCTCACCAAAATGATGATCAGGGCTGGGTTGTGGCAGAAACCTTCATGAATGTGAAGCCCAGCATGGTTGTTCAATTGTTGGAGAAAGAAAAACTCTTTTTGTTTGAAAGGTACAAAAACAATGTTGCCCCAGGATTGCAGCAGCCATTTCCCATTTGTAAAGAAGTGGATCTGGGCATAAATCAGACATCAGTGAAAATAGCCTGCGTTCTTGCGGACACTGTGTCCACAATGGGTCCAAGGACCTCAAGTTCTGACCTTCCTCTGGATGGCTCCAACCGTGGCCCTTGTTTGTTTTCTCCAGGTTTAGCTGAGTTCTTGGTTATCTGTAATTGCAAGTGTGTTGGTTGGCAATGAGATTGAGGCTGCGAGGCAGAGGAAGCCCAGCCATGACAGGGGGCTGCCCCTGGGAATAGAGTTGTGCTTTTCTACTAGTCAGGTAAAGCAATAATATCACATATGAAATGTGAGGAATGTTCTTGGTTTCCTATACAAATCATGGGATCCCCGGAAATGCTTCAGGGCGGGGGGTATTCGCAGCCATATCTTTGCTGTGCTGTCTTCTTGCACATTCTCATGGGCCTCCTCTGTGTTCAAACCTGCAGCAGAAGCAGCTCTGGCATGTCACAGGGTCATGAGAAGGATGCGTACACTCTTGCTCTTCCACGATTTGCTCTGATAACAGCGAGTCCTGACAGAGCAGACGCTCCTGCAGCAGGAGGTGAAGTCCCTTCTTCCTGGGTCTGGAGCTGGATTCCTTTCCTGAGGAGGCTGCTGTTACAAATGACCACATACTTGGGGCTTCAAACAACAAAAATTGATTCTCTCAGAGCTGAGGAGGCCGGAACTCTGAGATCAGTGTCCCTGGTCCAAAGTCACAGTGTTGGCTGGGCCACGCTCCCTCGGAGGCTCTAGGGAGAGTCTGTCCTTTGCCTCTTGCAGCTTCTGATGGCTACCGGCACCCCTTGACTTTCCACCACATCCCTCCAGTCTTGGCCTCCGTGGACCCATTGCCTCCTGCTCTTCTGTGGGTTCTGATTTCTCTCTGCGTCTCTCTTATGTGTGGTGGAATTTAGGGCACACCTGAAAAATCCAGGATAATCTCCCATCTCAAAACTCTTAACGTAATCACGCCTGCAAAGTCCCGTTTACCAAATAGGTCAACTTCACAGGTTCTAGAGCTGACAGCTGATGCCTGGGTGGCCATTATTCAGCCTACCACGGGGGCTTTCAGATGTCCCCATTTGCTTCACAATGGACCCAGGAAGGAAGGCTCAAGCTTCATGGTCACAGTGGTGCATTGCCCTCTGTGGTGGCAGCAAGTTATCACCCATCCAACTAACAACTGCTTCCATGGATGCCTCTGTAGCTGCCTTCATGCTCCAAGCTGGAAGGTGGGAGCCAGGGAGAATCCATCCCCACAACAGGGACATGACGGCCTCTTGTTTGCTGACTCCAGGGGAAGGATCAGGAAGCAGAGCGTCAGCTTAGATTTTGAAGCTCAAATGGGGAGACTTGCCTCTGGGTCTGACTGATCTGGTTCTCACTGGCCTCCCCATCCTGGGAGAAGACATTTCCCAACCCCACTGTGGGCAGTGCTGGCAGAGTGAACCGTGCTCAGTGTTTATCCTGTTATTTCATCAGTGGGAAAGTCGGTTTTCCCACTGTCAGCTAGCCACCAGAATTCCGCATTCCTCACTGACATATTGCCTCCATGGAGCTGGAGAAAGGTGGGCTTTCCATGACTTTCATCGTTAACTAGTCTCCAATTATTCCAGGATCTCTTCTTTTCCTGGTCCTTTTACCAGGGGTGAATGAATGTCTGTTTTTTGTATGGGTGATTATTGCAGCACTAGTTTAAAGTGAACTGACAGCAGATCTCTGGTCCAGGCTCATAGAAAGGATTATACTGTAAAGGGCGGAACACGGTCACTGAAGGCAATGACGATGTTTTGTGTTCTTTACAATCTCCACCCAAACCTGCATGTTTCATGTGACAAGGCCCTGTTGCAGGTTTGCTTAGTGGAATGACAGACATCCCACATCTGGGATGTCTGACCCAAATTCCTCCATCACAGTCCACATGGGGTCACTTTCTCCCCATGAAGAGCAACAGCTCACATTTGCTGCATGAGGTTGGGTACCATAGACACTCCCATCCAGCCTGTTTATGGGTCCTACCCTGGCGCAAAGGAGGCCCCTGTGTGGCCCTTGGGTGTTAGCTGTCACACTGGCATCTGGGAAGTTCCCCAGTGTCTATGTTGCCCCTGCTGGCACCTCACCCAGCTCTCAACATTTCTGGCCACAAGGCACCCAGCTGTGCTTCTCAGGCTACTTGCATTTGGCCCTGGAAGGGACCACTGAGACTTGGTTCTCACTTGGAGGGAGACACATCCAAGGTTTAAAATCGAAGGTCTATTTGTACAAGTAATCACTGAGGGCAGATGTTCTTGAACAGAGTCAGGCTTAACAGTGATGAATAATGAACAATAATCAGATATATTGGAGTATATGAGGAAGTCATTTGGCTTAAAACTCATTCAGCCTGAGCTTGTTTTTCCAAAGAGGCCTGACGTGGCCTGTGGAGCATGCATTGTATATCTGCTTGAAACATTTACTATGACCCAAAGACAAGAATGATGCCCTTCAAGATGGGGATGTAACTTCCCCCCATATCAGCATTTGTTTAAGGATTAGCATTTGGTCCTGGGAACTAAGGATCATTACTGACCTGCTGTGCTCAGTTTGGGACCATGGACGTGCTGTGCCAGATAAGATGATTTGACAGCTGTAAAAGAGATATTCCTCTCATGTGTGATGTGCTCTCTTTGTTCCAAGAAGCTATATAACCACTCTGTACATCCCACTTCGTTGTTGACCTTCCTTCCTTGGGGAATAAAGTACCCAGGCTATACTCATCAAATGTGGCTCGTAATAAGGCAACGCCAATTTTGACTTATAGATGTACTATGGATAATTTGCATTGACGTTTCTTGGTGTTATAGCAGCAAGATTTCAGAGAAATCCACTGGAGACCACCTGGAATCTACACTGAACTGGCCTTTGGTACAAACTGACCCATTGACCGGCAAAATCACTGCATTCTTCAGGTGACCCTGTAATTTCCCCTGAAACTTGGATTTCCTTATTTTAAGTCAATGTTGTAGAGTTTATATGAGCTCTTTCCATCCTTAAGACTAGGTGCCTTAAGGGGATACTGGCACATAACATCAGTAATAGGAACCTAGGGAGGAATTCCTAAGACAGACAAACCTAGGAGGAATTCCTAAGAAAGAGAAACCTAGGGGGAATTCCTAGGGAAGATAAACCCAAGGGGAATTCCTAGGCCTTAGGAGCCTAGAGAGGTAACTTCGGAGTGAATAAGGAAGGCTGACCTTTTAATCTGGCTCTAAATTAGAAAGAATTGTGTTTATGAAGTCTGAACAAACCACTTGATAGAGAAAGGAGAGTCTGAACTTGTTCAGCTCTGAAGAGAAGGGACACAAGGTCCTCCCAGCTGTAAGGTGTTTGAGGTGACTGAGAACCTCACGAGAGTGGCAGACCCATTACACTGTCTCTAGAAATTGGTAAGACTTTATAGTAAATATAAACTAACAACAAATGGGAAATTGAGCTTCTAAAAGCTGACCATTCCCAAATGGGCAGCCTCCCCTGGGAACTCTGGCTGGCTTCATGTTGAAATTTGCAAGTGCTTAATGAAATGGGGATAGCTGTAAGTGGTTGACAAGATAACCCAGAGTAATTTAAAGTTACAGTGGCAACTTCTGGGCTCCTTTATAAGAGCCAGGTAATAGGGAAATTGTTCAAATTGTTGAAAGAGTCCAGCTCCTGGCATAATTGCTCAACTAAAGTTTCCAGAAACTGTAAATATATAAGAACAAAGAAAAAGATTCTTTGTTTGTTTTGGGTTTTTTTTCTGCTTTTTTCTCCCCAAATCCCCCCAGTACATAGTTTTATATCTTTTAGTTGTGGGTCCGTCTACTGTGGCATGTGGGATGGCACCTCAACATGGCCAGATGAGCGGTTCCATGTCCGCGCCCAGGATCCGAAACAAGGAAACCCTGGGCCACAGCAGTGGAGCACCCGAACTTAACCACTCGGCCCCGAGGCCGGCCCCAGAAAAAAAATTCTTACCATGCTTTGTGTCTGAGGGTTTGGCTCAATAATCATCAGGTCAGGGTCTTTATGTACAGTCAGACAAAGTGTGGTGGCACCCCATTTGCAGTCAGAGGTAGTCAGACAGAAATGTGAGTTGTACTGCATTCTACGCTAAGGGTCCAATGAAATTGTTGCCAGCCTCAGAGGAATTGTAGTAGTCATTAGAAGGAACATCCTGATTGGATCAGATTATTTAAGAGTTGCACTTAAAAGCAAAAACTTCAAAATTAAAAAATAACCTTATTGAAAGTTTTGTCGCAAAGCTAATAGAAAATTAAGTTATAAAATTTACCTACAGGAAAATATCTTGGGCCATGTCTTTACAGATACCCCTGTAATATTCTCCCAGTGTTAATGAGACTTTGAGAGGCATTCTGTGAAACTGCTATGTTAAAGGTAATGGAATTGTTCAATATTGCCAGGTGGTTACTCTTTGTCCCTCTGAAACCCGACAAGACATTGGGAGGAGTTAACAACTTATGATGAGAAGTTCAGCCAAACTGGAAGCTGATATTCAGAGCCTGATCAGAATTTTTTGGCCTTCTTCCATAAGTTAAAACCAAACT